GTTATATAAAACGGCACCACGTGACGCGCCCCGCCACGCCGCTCATTGGCCAGCGGCGGGGCGATTGTTACAAAACCAGACAGTTTTGTAACAGTGTTGCGCTTGCTTCTTTTGGCTTCGCTTTTCTTGGCTTCTTTTTGAGGTTGTTTGTGTTTACACTCTGCCTTATTTGCCCCTCGCAATGTGGTTCCTTTTTGGAAGAGGGAGAGAGAAGAAAAAAAACACCCAGTCTTCTCTTGGGCTTCTCCGTCTCCAAACCCTATTCCAGCCTACCTCCAAACCCGCCAGCAGTTTGCTAACAGGTCCCCTCTGCCAGCCGCTCGCTAGCTGCCCCCTTCCCTCTCCCCGCCCCAAGAGGCCGGCACCTCGAGGCGCGCAGTCCGCTAGGTCTTTGGGGACGTCAGAGGCTCGCCCTCCCGGGGCGACGGCGGCTGTCTTCGAAGGGAAGCGGGCTGGTAGGGTCCCAGGGAAGCCCCCAACCCCGGTCCCGGTCCCGGCTCCTCACACACGGAGTCCCTGACCACCTTCCCCAGGGAGTCCCCCAAAGGTAGTGAGCGCGGTCATCCAAGGGCTCTTGGTCTCCCGTGCCCTGAGCGACTCAGAGCAGCGGGCCCGCCGGGCTCAGCAGTTGGGCGGCGCTCGCTGAGCAGAGAGGGACGAGCGCAGAAGATGCGCTCGCCGGCTCGGGCCCGGAGGAGGCGCCCTGCGCGCCCGGCTTCCTCACCTCTTTCTCCTCCAATTCTGGAGCCTGCACTGGGGCGGCGGCCGGCGCCCCACCAGAGACGCACCCGGCCCTGGGGGCCACTGACCGATGGGCGCGGCCGTGAGAACAAGGCCTGCTGGGGTCAGTGGGCACTCCCGGGGCGTGAGAGAACGGCGGGCGGAAGACAGGAACCCAGCGCGCCGCCGGGGAGAACGTCCGCGGGCCCCGGAGCACTCGAGCCGCCGGCCCAGCTGTTTCCAGGTTCGCAGGTCCAGAGTGGAGTTCCGACCCTGGTGTGTCACAGTGGAGGGCTTCGCAAGAGCCGCGGTAATGGCTAGGGGCCTCGAGGGTGCCTCGCTTATTTCCAGTGGGAAGGCCAATGGGAGCCGCCCACACTATGTCTCCCTCCCACCCTGACACTTTGGAAGGGAACCACACGCACAAATAAGCAGACAAGCTTAGAGACCTAAAGGAATAACACATTTCCCCCAGGGTCGCGCTGCTCTGAGCAGGGAGGTGGGGTCTGGGCTTGCCTCTGGCTCAGTGGGCTTCCAGAGTTGGTGGGCTCTGCGTAGCACCTGGAGCTGTGCCCAGGGCAGGGGACCTACAATGGGCTCCTACTGTGGCCATTTCTTAGGTGAGTGACCTTTGACAAGTGATTAAACTCTGGGAGCCATCGTCTTGGCTTCTGAACCAGTGTCAAGAATGACAAATTATGTTTCAGAGCTGGGAACCACAGGCTCGCTCTCGGCTGTGTGTGTCCCTTTAGGTTGTTAATCCCCCTTGAGTCAGCGCCAAGGTCCCAGAGAACAAGTACTGTGCAGCCATCCCTAGAGCCTCCCTCTGAGGTACGATATGGGGAGAGGGTCAGAGGGGGGAAGGGACAAAGGCACGTAGGGGAAAGAGACAAAGAAAAGAAACAGAGGAACTGAGGACGTAGCCAGGAAGGCACAAATAGGAAGACTTGACTGGCAGCTCTGGCTTTGTCACAACTTACTGTGAGACTTTGGGCAAGCCCTCTCACAAGGTCTTTGTTTGACAAGGTCTTCGTCCTGATGCCCAAGGTTCTCTCCAGCTCAAACCTTGAGTGGCTTCTATCCTAAGACTAGACGTCATGATACCCAGCTCAGTTACTGAAGTATAAAAGACTAGCCCAGATGCTGTGGGAGGTGGTGGCTTGGACAAGGGGGTGAAGTCAGCAGTAGTTGTGGAAGGGCAAGGGTAGCTGGGTGGCAGTCCTCTTCATCAGGGGCAGGCCCTGAGCTAGATTTTGAAGCTAGGGAAGTCAGGAGACCAGCCAAGAGGTGGAGGAGAGGGCTATGCCAGGCATTTAGGGAGAAGCCGGGGCTCCTGCTGACTTGCTAAGAACAGATTAGATCTTTAGCTTTTTAAACTTATCAAAGGAATAAAGCCCACTACAAAATAAGAATTAACAGATTGCGGTAATCTAATCATAAAGGACAGGCAAGTGTGCTTACACATATTTGTGGTTAATTCTTAAATGTATTTTCTTTTTTAATTTTTAATTTTTTGGTGGGGGGAGGTAATTAGGTTTATTTGTTTATTTATTATTTAGAGGAGGTACTGGGGACTAAACCCAGGACCTCATGCATGCTAAGCATGCGCCCTACTGCTTGAGCTATACCCTCCCCTCTACATTGCATTTTCAAATCAGGAATGCCTGTAGGATAACACCAAATGGGTTTCTATTAAATACTGGAAAATACGACCACAGTACTTTTCTTTCCTTCTTTATTTAAACAAACATTACATTGATATTCATTTGTGGACCAACTCATAAATCTACTTAAAACTTCTTCCCCTCTGCCCTTCATAATTGAAGCTCCCTAGAAGGCGGGGAGAGGAGAAATTGATGGCACTTTTTCAGATGCACATATTCCCTTTCGAGGGCCAACCAGGCTTTTCAAACCTCCATTTATTTTGCTAGTATCTCCTCCTGGCTAAGATTAACCAGGAAAAAGAGCAAGAGTTGATCTGCCCCTCCTTTCCAAATGACTACAGCAAGTTTTCTAACTGGGCTCTGAGGAAGCTCTCTGGGGCCCAGAGGAGACAGCAGGCAGGGCTCAACTCCAACTCCTCTCAACCAGGGCAACCTTGCATCCACCTGTTTCATGTAGTGAGCTCTGGGGTATGATTTCATTGAAGAAAGTCTTTCTCGTCCTTAAAATAAAGTTTGAAAACTGTGGCGATTTTCATCTCTTTTAACATATTTGTTAAGCATCTTCTACGTACTGTTCCAGGTACTGGAGATAGCTCAAAGCAGCATTTGGCTCCCAGGTCCTCCCTTCCATATGGTAGCACCTTTTCCACACACATTCTTGTCCTGGCCTCCCAGGTCGACTAGAGGGCAAGGACTAGTGTTTTAAGTCTTTTGTCTCCTCAGGGACAGTATTTGAACAGATCGTACTGAACATTGCAGTGGACATTCTGGCCCTAGATGGGATTGTGCAGAGGGACAAGAGTAAATCCAGCTGGAATATGTCAAACCTTTGCCCTGGGTCATTCACAGAGAGAGTGGGCATGCAGATAATTAAGTGCTGACAATCCTTTACTTGGGAAGGGCTAGTAACAGCTCTGGCGTGGAAGAATCCAGTCAAAGCCAGGGAGCCAAGGTGAGGAATCAGCGACCTTCCCGGCCCCCAGCCACTCACAGGCTATTCATGGCTGCTTGGTCAAAGCATTTACTGGTTCTTTAAT